CATGACGTTGAGAGATTGTCACACTAGCTTTCTTTCTACATAACGAAGATGACTCTCCATACGTTCTAAGGCTCGTTCAAAGCCTAAGACGTTCTCATATATCAATCCAGTGAAATGAGCTGCGCTAAACGAACTTATCAGTCAAAATGACATCAAACCAAAACATGCGCCGCAAAAGGTCTCAATATACGAGGGATGTCTAATTGAAAGACTAATATTTGTGTGTAAATAATCGCTTTTCGAGGATGCGTACCGTAGCGACTTCTAACAATGAATTGTCGCCGCGAATCGAGCTCCCCTCTCTCCTCAACACACCTGAGAGTCGCGTTCGAACACAGAGCCGCAGCTGTCAATTTTCGAGGCAACTATCCCAGAGAAACAGCAAATATCGAATGTGAAAATTTAGCTGAACAAAGAACATAGTGTGGATCACTATCGAAAGTGAGTGTGACAGACAAGAGCGACAATTCGTAAAGCTCTCCTAGAGACGATCAAGCTGCTTTTGTTGACGAGTAAATGAGGTACGAGGGTCAAGACGCGATTTGCAACAACGAGGATTAGAAGGCCAAATGAGGACAGGTGATAGGTGACAGACAGCTCCTCCCTTCTCCTCAGACTCCGCCCCACTCCAACCATCATCATCGCATCCTGAGGACCATTCTGCAATAATTTTGGGGCCTAAAGAGGCACTCGAGCTTAAGTGGGATATTATTTCATGGAGTCAAGCGAAGAGTCTCTCATTTTGGACATTTAGATGTTGTGTTTGCTATGTTAGAAATGTGATAAAGGATAAAAAAGCAGAAATTAAGAGCTAAGAGCACTAACTAAGAAAACTCAAAATCCCTAAGCATAAATAGCTATTATCTTTTCATGACCTTCAATCCTCAATTTCATTAAGCTGGTTTGCCACTATACTTTGTCTATATAAGTTTTTTTTTTCAATTTTGTATCCTGAAAGTATCTTCTCGCTTACATACTCATGATTATCGAATTTGATGCATTTGGCTGTGCTTTTCTTAGGAAGAAAATGACAAAGTAGTCCAAATCGTTACAAAATATATTTTATGACTCTTGTTTGAAATGAGATGAGTACATTTTGAATGCCGGTAGCAATCGCTCAACGACGAATTTATTAGCAGCTTAACAATAACCCTTACACACTCATATCTTTTTTTGATGGAGGAGCGACGCTACAGTTAAATAGATACATCCTAGCGCCCAGTGCAATGATTAAAGACTTTGTCATAGATTTGAAAGGAGAGCTATGGGAATACGAGGCTTCAAAGACGGCAAACAATTGATTTTTCCAACATCTTTCAAACATCGTTAATAAGATTTCTCTAGCTGGTAAAAACTGCACTTGACTACTTAATAAAAGCGTTAATAAAAGTACATTGCAGCACTTGCCTGCATAGGGGATAAGACAAAGATTTGGATGATTGCATTGACTTTCCGAAGGAAATATAAGTAGGATACATACCAGCCAAAAAGTTCCTCACATTTTTTAGAGAACTTGTAAAAAGTTATTTCTGATCCTCGTACTAAATGAAGCATAATCGAATGAGTTTAGTAAGCGATGTCACAGTCATAACCTTCTTCTGCTTTTGCACCTGGACATCAGTGTCGTCAATGTCAAGCAATTATCAAGCGAAACGTCAGCAGTTAACCATATTTCT